AAGTTTTTTACAGTGGAGACAAAAGGGGGTTTTCGGGGAAGTCAAAACAGAAGGGGGGGGGGTACATCAACAAGGGATATACCAACAAGTGTAGGATGAAATACAACCAACGAGGAGCTGAAGAAGCTGCTAAGTGAACTTGATACCTCAAAGGCTGTGGGACCGGACATCTCTCCGTGGGTCCTGAGAGAGGGGGAAGAGATGCTGTATGTGCCCCTAACAACAATTCTCAACGTATCCATTGAAACTGGGCAACTACCTGAGATATGGAAGACAGCATATGTAGTCCCCATTTTTAAGAAAGGAGGCAGACACGAGGCATTAAACTGTAGACCAGTGTCACTGACGTGTATAGTATGCAAAGTCATGGAGAAGATTATCAGGAGGAGAGTGGTGGAACGGAGCAAGCTTATAAACGGCAACAAGCACGGATCCATGGAAGGCAAATCTTGTGTCACAAACCTACTGGAGTTTTCAGACAAGGTAACAGAAATAAGACACGAGAGAGAGGGGTGGATAGATTGAATTTTCTTGGACTGCAAGAAGGCCATCGACACAGTTCCTCACAAGAGATTAGTGCAAAAGCTAGTAGATCAGGCACATATAACAGGAAGGGCACTGCAATGAATCAGAGGATACCTGACAGGGAGGCAACAACGAGTCATGGTACGTAACGAGGTATCTGAGCGGGCGCCTGTGACGAGCGGGGTTCCACAGGGGTCAGACCTAGGACCAGTGCTATTTTTGGTATATGTGAATGACATGACGGAAGGGATAGAATCAGAAGTGTCCCTGTTTGCAGATGATGTGAAGTTAATGAGGCAAATTAAGTTGGATGAGGATCAGGCAGGACTACAAAGAGACCTGGACAGGCTGGAAGCTGGGTCCAGCAACTGGCTTCTCGAATTTAACCCTGCCAAATGCAAAGTCATGAAAATCGGGGAAGGGCAAAGAAGACCACAGAGTATAGGCTAGCTAGTTGGCCATAGGCTGCAAACTTCACTCAAGGAAAAGGATCTTGGGGTGAGTATAATATCGAGCACATATCCTGAGGCGCACATCAACCAGATAACTGCTGCAGCACGTGAACGCTTGGCAAACCTGAGAATAGCGTTCCGATACCTCAGTAAGGAATTGTTCAAGACTCTGTACATCGTGTATTTCAGGCCCATACTGGAGTATGCAGCACCAGTTTGGAACCCACACCTGCTCAAGCACATCGGGAAATTAGAGAAAGTGCAAAGGTTTGCAACAAGGCACCAAAGCCTGATCTGCCGTCTCTCCTGTCTATACTTCAACTCCCCACGAGTCGTGCCTAGAGGGTGAGCGGCATTCAAAACATACTAGGTCAGCGGTAACGGTCAGTGAATAACAGTCAGTGATTCACACAGACGGTTGCTAGTGAGTCATTACTACTGACACTACTGGTAACTGGTGCTACTGAGATAACTGGTACTACTGAGAAATGTCCTACAAAGAAAGTTAAGGGAAATCGGCCTGAAAACACTGGAGAACAGGAGGGTTAGGAGAGACATGAAAACGACATACAAAATACTGCGAGGAATTCACAAGGTGGACAGAGACAGGGTGTTCCAGAGATGGGACACAGAAACAAGAGGTCACAATTGGAAGCTGAAGACTCAGATGAGTCAAAGGGATGTTAGGTAGTATTTCTTTAGCCATAGAGTTGTCAGGAACTGGAATAGTCTGGCAAGTGATGTAGTGGATCAGTGAAGAGGCGGGGCCAGGAGCTATGTCTCGACCCTTGCAATCACAAATAGGTGAATACACATTAATTAAAACCACAATAAACTTCAACGTATCTAAATGCCAGTAGAGACCAGATGTTATTGCCAAATTTGCACTGAAATAAACATGCAGTATATAAGCACCTGCCTTCATATTACCTGGAGTCTACCTAGAGGATGTTCCTGGGGGTCAACACCCCCGTGACCCAGTCTTTGACCATGTCTCCCGGCAGATTCATGTTCTTTGCTTCATAACGGAATTTTTAACATGATACCAGACAATTTACATGCTACTAACCATAAGTTCTAAACAAGGGCAGTAGGCCTACTACACTGCATCTGAAAAAGAAAATGCTTCTCTGCGTGTCAGAAGTTAAAGTTTCTTCTCTCAGATGTACAGTCTGCTGGAGGTTTGAAATGTAGGAATAACAGTGACAGTATATACCAACAAGTATATGAAAAAATCTAAACTTATGTAATAAACCTAAATAAACTTTCTTATTTTCTTATTTGTTTACTTACTGAGCCACTGTCCAAGCCAGAAATTTCATGATTTTTTATTTAAGTTAACCTTAGTAGCTCTCTGTTTCATTTTCTTTGAAAAGAGTCCAGAGGATTCAGAGAAAATGTATTAGCATTGACTCACATAAATAAATCATTTTTACGAAAGTTTAGTCAAGGTCATCCATTATGACTTTTTTTCAGAACACTGTGACACTAGCTATTAAGGAACAAGTGTTTCAGCTCACATATGTTGTTGGTGACTCAAGGTGGCCATGAAAAATTTATAGTTGACTTCATAGTTGGCAGAGCTGGTACACAGTAAGATAAGTAAGTAATAATCTAAGAAGTAAAAGTGTGTAAAACAAGTAAGTTTATTCAGGTATAGGTACACATAAATACAGTTACATAAATAATCAAACATAACAGCATATATGTAGATTATCCAACAGGATAACTCAAAAAGTCAGATACAGTGATCTATTTCCAGTGGGGTTCTTGTAATATCTTATTAGTTAAACCTTATTATTTAAAACAGCTAAATAATCCAACTATGCAAAAAAAAAAGTTACAATAAAATGAGATTTGCTAGGAATAAGGTAAACTGAGTTATTTACATTAATATTAAGGAAAGGAACCAAAGGAATCATAGTACTAGCGAGAGAGAACACAACTATATAGTAGCCACAGTCAGTGGCCAGGCTTCAAACACCTTTTATTGTACAGCAATAAAGGAATAAAACAGACTGCCTGTTGTGATGAATGGTTTGAATGTCTCAATCTTCAGACTGCCTGTACATGTCAAAGTCAGTCATAGCATGAACCAGTTCAAGAAGAGAGCCAAAAGGTGCCTGAGGAATGTAGCGACAGAAAGGGATGAGTAAGTAAGTAAGTAAGTAAGTAAATGAGTAAGTAAGTAAATGAGAATGATTTTTTATCTTTTTAGCTAACACATATGTAAGTAAGTAAGTAAGTAAGTAAGTAAGTAAATAAGTAAGTAAATTTATTCAGGTATATAAATAAGTCAATTTTACCTTTTTCCTAGTATATCTCCTTTATAGTATGATAATAAGATATTATGCAAGAATGGTATATAATACCGACAAGATGAAATTAAGACACATGTGCAACATCAGGGTATCTTTATTGTAGACGTTTCGCCATCCAGTGGCTTTATCAATACAAATTCTAGGACATAGCTTGAAGACAGTAGGACTATATACAGAAGATGAGGTAATCAGTCCCTCAGAATTTGTATTGATAAAGCCACTGGATGGCGAAACGTCTACAATAAAGATACCCTGATGTTGCACATGTGTCTTAATTTCATCATAAGATATTATCTCCTTTATAGTAAAATAATAAGGTATTGAAAGGACCCCAATGGAAATAAGTCACTTTGTCTGACTGTTTTGGGTTATCCCAGGTTCTCTACACATATGCTGCTATGTATGATAATCTATGTAACTGTATTTGAGTATACCTGAATAAACTTACGTACTTACTTATCACAGTAATCGGTACATGACTCACGAAATCGTAATGACACGATTGCAAACAAACCATACCACGGGTGGAGTTAGAACCCACGGTCAGAATCTCAAAACTCCAGACCGTCGCGTTAGCCACTGAGCCAACTAGCCACAATAAGATTTATCCATCTAGGTATATTTATACACCATAGGAAGGTTAGCACAGGCACCAATGTGACCACAAATGCAAGTTTTACAGACGAATCTCTAGCTAGCGTGGCCTGGTTACCTGGAGGTTACCTGGAGGTTATTCCGGGGATCAACGCCCCCGCGGCCCAGTCCATGACCAGGCCTCCCGATGGATCAGGGCCTGATCAACTAGGCTGTTACTGCTGGCCGCACGCAGTCCAACGTACGAGCCACAGCCCGGCCGTGACGAACTCTAGCTCAAGTCCCCTCAAAGCGTCAACATGACTAACGTCAACATGACTAACGCGACGGTCTGGAGTTTTGAGACTCTCTGATCGCGGGTTCTAATCCCACCCGTGGTATTGTTTTTTTAATAGGTACATGTATGTTAGGTATACAAGAAATCACTCTCCTCCCTTTCTGTAGCTATGTTAATTAGGTATCTTTTGGCTCTCTTCCTAAACTGACTCATGTTATGACATGTCAAAGCCTAAATTTAGATTTTTACATTTATGTAAATAGCCTATAATAACGCAATAAAGTAAAAAAGTGACTTATTTCCGTGAGGATCCTTATAATAATAATAATAATATCTTTATTACTACAAGTACATGTACAAGGTATACAGGTCTAGCTGACGTCAATGACGCACCACTATATAGAAAGCCGCTTGTTATGCAGAGCATTTCAGATAAATTAGGTCAAGTTTGTCTCAGGATGCATCCCACACCAGTCGACTAACACCCAGGTACCTATTTTACTGATGGGTGAACATAGACAACTGGTGTAAAGGAACACGACCAATGTTTCTACCCTAGCTAGGAATCGAACCCAGACCCTCGCCGTATGAAGCGAGAGCTTTAGCCACCAGGCCACGGGGCACTGTAATACATATCTATTAGATATGTATGACCTCTAGACATCTGTTAAAACAATTTATATGTTGTGTTCCCGAAGTCTAAATTAAAACTTACAAATTAAACCTCAAGACCGACTCTTCTGTGTGCACCTTGTGTGTGTCAGAACCCTTCCCATGCTATGAAACTAACGCTACTTTTAGGCATCATGACATAACGTGTTCTGCTTTCAGGCATCATGACATAACGTGTTCTGCTTTCAGGCATCATGACATAACGTGTCCTGCTTTCAGGCATCATGACATAACGTGTTCTGCTTTCAGGCATCATGACATAACGTGTTCTGCTTTCAGGCATCATGACATAACGTGTTCTGCTTTCAGGCATCATGACATAACGTGTTCTGCTTTCAGGCATCATGACATAACGTGTTCTGCTTTCAGGCATCATGACATAACGTGTTCTGCTTTCAGGCATCATGACATAACGTGGCTTGCTTTCAGGCATCATGACATAACGTGGCTTGCTTTCAGGCATCATGACATAACGTGGCTTGCTTTCAGGCATCATGACATAACGTGGCTTGCTTTCAGGCATCATGACATAACGTGTTCTGCTTTCAGGCATCATGACATAACGTGGCTTGCTTTCAGGCATCATGACATAACGTGTCCTGCTTTCAGGCATCATGACATAACGTGTTCTGCTTTCAGGCATCATGACATAACGTGGCTTGCTTTCAGGCATCATGACATAACGTGTCCTGCTTTCAGGCATCATGACATAACGTGTTCTGCTTTCAGGCATCATGACATAACGCGTTCTGCTTTCAGGCATCATGACATAACGTGGCTTGCTTTCAGGCATCATGACATAACGCGTTCTGCTTTCAGGCATCATGACATAACGTGTCCTGCTTTCAGGCATCATGACATAACGTGTTCTGCTTTCAGGCATCATGACATAACGCGTTCTGCTTTCAGGCATCATGACATAACGTGGCTTGCTTTCAGGCATCATGACATAACGTGTTCTGCTTTCAGGCATCATGACATAACGCGTTCTGCTTTCAGGCATCATGACATAACGTGGCTTGCTTTCAGGCATCATGACATAACGTGGCTTGCTTTCAGGAATCATGACATAACGTGTCCTGCTTTCAGGAATCATGACATAACGTGGCTTGCTTTCAGGCATCATGACATAACGTGGCTTGCTTTCAGGCATCATGACATAACGCGTTCTGCTTTCAGGCATCATGACATAACGTGGCTTGCTTTCAGGAATCATGACATAACGTGGCTTGCTTTCAGGAATCATGACATAACGTGTTCTGCTTTCAGGCATCATGACATAACGTGTCCTGCTTTCAGGAATCATGACATAACGTGTTCTGCTTTCATGCATCATGACGTTACATTTAGGTGACCGATCCGTCAGTGATATATAGTGCAGATCACTGCAATATAAAATATTTTTCTGAGCTAACCTGGACTGGTATAAATTCGTATCTCTTGTAATAGCATAAATAAACATTAAAGTTAACTCTGAAGGCGAATTCATCTCCACTTCATAAATTTCTTTTCATAATAAATTACTAAACTGTTAAATTCATATTTATCCATCTTCAATGATTGTACATAAAATCTCAAGCACGCACACACACACACACACACACACACACACACACACACACACACACACACACACCTCTCACACACACACCTCTCACACACGTCCCTCTCACGCACACCCCTTTCAAACACCCCTCTCTCACACACATATTGTCCTCCCAATTTATAAGCGTCAACACAACAAACAAATCCCTTTATAAACCAAGTGGACAAGCACTGCAAAAATTTCGTTCAACTAACCACAGCGGTGGGCCCATGGTAGGAATACACTTCTCCCCTGGGCTGACTGTGAAGGGTGAGGCATGTTCACTCCCACAAGCACTATTGCAATGGTCAGTGGAATTCTAAGATTATTTGATGGACTACCCTCGGCTGCCAGTGGGCCAAGATTAGTGGTGGGACTAGAGACTACCGTGGGCTGCCAGTGGGTCAAGACAAGCAGCTGGTAGAAGTCAAAATACCGACAAATAGGATGTAAACAAAAACTCACAGTAGTGCAAGCCTTGGGTAATGGTGGGAGCAGGAATTCCATAGCATAAGCAACAGACGTAAGCCGGAGCAGCAGCAGCATCATCAGTAGTAGTAGTAGTAGTGTAGCAAGTAATATAAGTAGCAGTAGTAAATAGTAGTAGTGTGACCAGAGATTTTAAAGTGAGGAGAGAACCCTCACTAATTCTGACAGAAATAGCGAGAGCCGACGGAGAGATCTGGATAGCACCATCTAGATAAGGAGACCTAGAAATGAGAACTAGGTAACGAGAGTTAGATAACAGGAGCTAGGTAGCGGAAACTAGAGAGCGATAGCTAACTAGCGAGATCTAGATAGCGAGAGCTAGATTACGAAGAGTTAGTGAGAGCTAGGTAGCTGTTTAGTCCTCAGTAGATAACCAAGCATGAGACAGTCAGGTCCCAAACTATCTTTCCCTTATTCTCCCAGAGATTTCTGTACTCATGTACCCCCATGTTGTCTCGTATGTACTCATGTACTCCCATGTTCTCTCACACTCATGTACTCGGATGTTCTCTCACATTTATGTACTCCCATGTTCTCTCATACGTACTCATGTACCCCCATGTTTCCTCACAGTTATGTACTTCCATATTCTTTCACACTTACTCATGTACTCAAATGCTCTCCCATTTACTCATGTACCTAGGCTCACATGTCCCCAGCAAGTCTTCGACCCACTACAATAAAGATAGCTCAGTATCTACAATAAAGATAGATCAATATCTACAATAAAGATAGATCATTATCTACAATAAAGATAGATCAATATCTACAATAAAGATAGATCATTATCTACAATAAAGATAGATCAATATCTACAATAAAGATAGATCATTATCTACAATAAAGATAGATCAGTGTCTACAATAAAGATAGATCATTATCTACAATAAAGATAGATCAGTATCTACAATAAAGATAGATCAATATCTACAATAAAGATAGATCATTATCTACAATAAATATATGTAAAGTAAAATAATACAAGTGCAACTAATGTGATATTTTATTGTGGCAACGTTTCGCCCTCCAGGAGCTTTGTTAAGCCGTTACAAACAATACATGGACATAGAGGGTATATATGGGCTTAGAGTGAGGTGCAATACTAGTGGTAGTAGTAGTAGTAGTAGTAGAAGTAGTAGTAGTAGTGATATAAGTAGTAGTAGTAGTAGTAGTAATACAATATGGTAGAACTTGCACATAAGTAAAAGGATATAAAAGCTATTACTTGGGTAACATCAAAATAATAGGCTAGGCAAATATTTGTGCTGGAGGTTGAATTAGAGAAGGTCTGTTTCCGTGTTCATCCTCTGTACTGTGCTGGTGTAGCATGAGACTGTGTGATGGCAGGGTTTACTGTTTTCAGGAGGCTTGACAAAACTCCAAGAGAGCGAAACGTTGCCACAATAAAATGTCACATTAGTTGCACTTGTGTCCTTGTACTTTACATAATGTCGGTAATTCTACCAACATATATACAATGAAGATAGTTAATAACCTAATTATTTTTCTGCTCCCAGTCCCTTACTTCCCGTTAACCTCCCCCCCCTTACTTCCCGTTACCTCCCCCCCCTTACTTCCCGTTACCTCCCCCCCCTCGCCGTTTAAGGGAAGGAGGAGAGGGTCTTTTGATCTAAGAAATAGGAGCTATTTTTCCCCTTCCTCGGATTAAATTTAGTTCCCCCTCATTCCCAGGCATTGTATAACATTCCCCATGAATAATAATAATAATAATAATAATAATAATAATAATAATAATAATAATAATAATATATTATTATTATTATTATTATTATTATTATTATTATTATTATTATTATTATTATTATTATTATTATTATTATTATCACCATCAATAATTATTATAATCTTTGCCTCTCCTATTTTTCCCGTCTTTCACTATTTCTTATTCCCCCCATTTCTCTCTCATTCCATTTCTACTTTCCCTTTCTTCTATCTTTCTCCGGCCCCTCTTCTCAGCACATTAGTAACCTAGCGTCTCTCCTGGCCAGGGATGTACTCAGCGCTGAGGGTGAACTTCAACCTATCTAGGAGCGCCGGCTACTTCCTCATCCAGGTGTACATCCCGTGCATCCTGATCGTTGTACTCTCCTGGGTCTCTTTTTGGATTAACCGGGAGGCCACTAGCGACCGTGTTGGCTTAGGTCAGTCACACCAGCTGTGCTTTTAGCAGTAACTTTCTAGGTCAGTCACACCAGCTGTGCTTTTAGCAGTAACTTTCTAGGTCAGTCACACCAGCTGTGCTTTTAGCAGTAACTTTCTAGGTCAGTCACACCAGCTGTGCTTTTAGCAGTAACTTTCTAGGTCAGTCACACCAGCTGTGCTTTTAGCAGTAACTTTCTAGGTCAGTCATACCAGCTGTGCTTTTAGTAGTAACTTTCTAGGTCAGTCACACCAGCTGTGCTTTTAGTAGTAACTTTCTAGGTCAGTCACACCAGCTGTGTTTTTAGTAGTAACTTTCTAGGTCAGTCACACCAGCTGTGCTTTTAGTAGTAACTTTCTAGGTCAGTCACACCAGCTGTGCTTTTAGTAGTAACTTTCTAGGTCAGTCACACCAGCTGTGCTTTTAGTAGTAACTTTCTAGGTCAGTCACACCAGCTGTGTTTTTAGTAGTAACTTTCTAGGTCAGTCACACCAGCTGTGCTTTTAGTAGTAACTTTCTAGGTCAGTCACACCAGCTGTGCTTTTAGTAGTAACTTTCTAGGTCAGTCACACCAGCTGTGCTTTTAGTAGTAACTTTCTAGGTCAGTCACACCAGCTGTGCTTTTAGTAGTAACTTTCTAGCTCAGTCACACCAGCTGTGCTTTTAGCAGTAACTTTCTAGGTCAGTCACACCAGCTGTGCTTTTAGTAGTAACTTTCTAGGTCAGTCACACCAGCTGTGCTTTTAGCAGTAACTTTCAAGGTCAGTCACACCAGCTGTGCTTTTAGTAGTAACTTTCTAGGTCAGTCATACCAGCTGTGCTTTTAGTAGTAACTTTCTAGGTCAGTCACACCAGCTGTGCTTTTAGTAGTAACTTTCTAGGTCAGTCACACCAGCTGTGCTTTTAGTAGTAACTTTCTAGGTCAGTCACACCAGCTGTGCTTTTAGTAGTAACTTTCTAGGTCAGTCACACCAGCTGTGCTTTTAGTAGTAACTTTCTAGGTCAGTCACACCAGCTGTGCTTTTAGTAGTAACTTTCTAGATCAGTCACACCAGCTGTGCTTTTAGTAGTAACTTTCTAGGTCAGTCACACCAGCTGTGCTTTTAGCAGTAACTTTCTAGGTCTGGGAAGTGTTTAGTACCAAAACATCGTGTAATCTCAGTACCCAAAGTTTGAGAAATCCGTTTTCAAAAAAATATTCATAGTGACAGAACCGGTTAATAACCAGTATACCCAGTGCCTAGGAACTGGTATTCCAGGCATCAAAAGATACCTGGAATATCAAAAGCTTGCGAGTCACGGTGCCTAAATTTCACGTGACACCAACATTTTTCCTCCTCTGCTCTCCTTCTCCTTCCTTCTCTTCCTCCTTCCTTCTCTTCCTCCTTCCTTCTCTTCCTCCTTTCTTTTCCTAATCTCGCCCTCGATCTGCTTCGATCCTCAGTGCTTTTCTCTTGAGAGAGGAGGATCAAAAGGGTCTTGTATCCTCCAGGATCCAACTCAGCGGACAGGAGCGCATTCACTCTTCACGGGATTCCTTCTTTAATACCACTATTTTTTTCTCTCTTATTTTTCATGGATGTTGGATTAATGATCTTTTGTTTACATTATCTTCCTTCTATTATTATTATTATTATTATTATTATTATTATTATTATTATTATTATTATTATTATTATTATTATTATCATTAACAGTATTAGTATTTATTGTTATTTACTTTTATTATTATTATCGTTATTGTTTTGTAATAAGAATTATTTTGGTAAATATTTTTGTTACAGTGTAATATTTTTTTCTTTTGTATTGTGTCAGCAAGTCAGTTATGATAACAGGAAATTGCTAAAGATAGCAGGAAATTGCTAAAGATAGCAGGAAATTGCTAAAGATAGCAGGAAATTGCTAAAGATAGCAGGAAATTGCTAAAGATAGCAGGAAATTGCTAAAGATAGCAGGAAATTATTAATGGCAGCAGCAAATTAATGTTTTCAATATATTAATATTGTTCATATCTCTGATTAACAATTGTTATTAATTGTAAATGCTACAGGTAACATTAGAGAACCTTCTTCCCAGCCTACTGCTTCAGCCTGTTCTCCTCTTCCTCCTTCTCCTCCTTCCACACTTCCTTCCCAACGTTATCCCACTTCATCTTCATTATCATTTCCTCTTTCCTCTTCTATACCTCCAAGTTCACATTCTACTTTACAATCCTTGCCTTAAACGTCTAGATAATACTTCCACGTACTGTTAGAACCGAGTGTTATATATCCTCCGTGTCCTACCTCTTTCCTGGAAATAAGTCACTCTGACCTTTTTTGAGTTATCCTAGGTTCTCTACACATATGTTGCTATGTATGATAATCTACGTAACTGTATTTGTGTATACCTGAATAATACTTACTATCCCACTTACTGTTGTCACCGTTGTGTGTTGTGTGTGTGTGCAGGCATCACCACGGTGCTGACACTGTCTACCATCAGCCTGGACACCCGCACAGACCTGCCCAAGGTACACTACGCTACAGCCCTCGACTGGTTCATCCTCATGAGCTTCGGCTACTGCATCGCCACACTGCTGCAGTTTGCTGGCGTCCACTTCTTTACCAAGGTACTGGCTGGTACCTACGTTATTTCTCCATCCTTTTATATGCTGTATGTGTGTGTGTTATTGCCTCGTTTCCCCCCCCCCCACTTCCCTCTATCCTCTTTTTATGTCTATGGTTTATTTATATTTATTTCATTATCGTCTGCTAACATAATTAGAGATACCTATTTTCACTCGTGGGCCACGCTCACTTGTGACGTTAACTCCAACTGCTTCATCTCACCTCTATTGTAGTATATAAGGTATGGCAGTATGCCTAAGTTATAGACTAGAGGGACTGACCCCCTCCCACCGAGGGCGAGGGACTCACAACGTTAATCCTACTACTACTGCTTCCAGTGCTGTATTCACCCGCAATCGACTGAAGAAGCCTACTTCGCAGGCGAAACGTTTCGGCAATAAAAATACCCAAATATTGTACATGAGCCTTAATTCATCAACTTGGTGTTGTGTAGCATCAATAACACAACAGCTGCTGCAGTTGTCAGTTTTTGTTTTTGTTTTTTCCTTTTTTTATTTCGTCTCTTCCTCCTGGTTTTCCGTGAGTGTATTAATAAAGTCTTTTCTGACTTACTTCTAACTTTTAGTGATGATATGTTACGGAAGGAACAAGAAGACAAAATACCGTGACTCGAATAATACACAAATAACCCGCACATAGAAGAGAGAAGCTTATAACGACGTTTCGGTACGACTTGGACCATTTGCAAGTCACACTGTGGTAAATGGTCTAAGTCGGACCGAAACGTCGTCATAAGCTTCTCTCTCCTATGTGCAGGTTATTTGTGTACGTCACATAAGGAAAGCTTCAGATTT